CCCACTCCCCCCTTTCTTGGTGGGCCACAATAGAGAGAGTTCTCTCTCTTCCTTCATGTGCCTTTTCTATAAAAGCCACACTTTGTCTCAAAACCTAGTAAGGGTTTTTGGTTTTCCAAGTTTGATGTGTTGATGTGTTGATGTGTTGATGTGTAGGTGAGACATTCTCCATATCTTGGCTTTTACGGTGCATTAGAGGACACTCATTCTGAAGAGGGGCACCACAGAGTTTCGGATTCCCTTCAAAGGCAGAGGCATCAAAGCCTTGGAGCTGAGTGCTTTTTGGTATTGGACCTTCGAGATTATTGTACGAGACATTCAAAAAGGACAAGAAATTAAGGCTCGTCAATGATGGTGGGATTTCTCCGGACAAGTGGTTCATTGAAAGATCCAACGTCTCTAAGTTTTTCAGGTTGGATATTTTGTCGGGAATGTTTCCAGAGAAATTGTTGTCGTCAAGATTTAATGCATGAAGAAGGACCAATTGGCTGATCTCAGTTGGTATATTCCCATTGATGCTATTTTTGTATAGGTGTATAGCTGGTGGAAAGAAAGAAAGGGAACTGTACTGCAAAAAGTCTGCATCACTTGCTAGTATGATGAAGAAAGGCAATTGGAGATAAGTATGATCTACTTGAGCTGCAGTTTGTTCAGACACCAACATTGGTAATTTGCAAAGTTGCTTTGGAAGCTCACCTGAAATTCGGTTGTTGCCTAAGTTTATGTGAAAGAGGCTTGGAAAATTCCCGAACCATGTTGGAACTGAGCCTGTGAATCTATTAGAGGACAAATCCAAGACCTCTAGCTTTTTTATTTTGGATAACCATATAGGTAAGGGACCAGTGAGCTGACAACCACGGAAAGACAAAATACAAAGATTTTGCAATCCATCAACACCAACGATGCCATCACCGTTTGGCATTTCTTCACCTATAAAATTGTTTGAAAGGATGAGAACCTTCAGACTTTTGCAGCCCATCAGTATATTAAGTACCCTTGTGATATTGGACAATCTGCTCGCAGAAAGCGAGAGGAAGGACAAAGATTTCAGTGAAAGAATCTCAGGCTGTATTTGTCCGTCTAAGTCATTTAAGCTCAGCCGAAGTGCTTTCAGGGACTTGCATGAGTAAAGGCTAGTTGGGAAGACACCAGTGAATTGATTACTCACAAAGTCAAGTTTAGTAAGGCGACTAAGTTTGGAGAAATCAAGCATGGAGAGCTTTCCTACAAAATGGTTGAATCCGAGGTTCAATTCTCTAAGGTTTGTGCAATTCAGCAAAGATGGGGGCAGAGAACCTGTTAGATTGTTGAAATGAAGAAGAATGAGTTTCAATTTGGAGAGCTTGCCCATATTCATCGGGAGCATGCCACTGAATTGATTAACATATAATTCAAGGATTGTGAGGTTGGTGAGGTTGACAATTTCATCACTAATGTCTCCATGAAGCGCATTTCTAGGTAACGAGATTTCTTCAAGTGTGGTAGCATTATAGATATCTTCTGGAAGTTGTCCAGAGAGCCTATTGTAACCAGCACGAAAAACCTGTAGTTTCGAACACTTCCCTAGTCCACCAGAAATATTGCTGCTGAATTCATTGATGGAAAAATCCAACAGCCTAATCAGGGGAGAAGAATGAAGACATATAGAGGATGGGATAGAACCTGAGAAGGTGTTGTTCCCGACATTGAAACTAGTCAAATTCGTAGCTCGTCGGAAGAATGACGATGGAATCACACCATGGAATTTATTGTTGGACAAGTCCACCATGCGAGTGCTGGATGGAATGAAAAGTGGTAGCTCTCCAAACAGACGGTTATAGCTCAAATCAAGGATCTCAAGACAATTTAAGGACAAGAAGAAACGGGGTTCAAGTGAACCGTAGAGTGAATTGTGAGAGAGGTTCAAAAGAGAGAGATGAGTGAGATTTTCAAGGGAGGGAAAAATACCTCCTTTGAGATTGAGCCCTGATCTGGAGGGCAAGTCCAAATCTGTGACCCAACCGTTGTGATCACAGGTGATGCCCTCCCAATGGCAACAATCAATGGAAGTCCAGTTCAAAGAAGGAGAAGACAGTGTGAGAGCAAAGGACAAGAGAGAGCTACGTTGAGTTTCATTGCATGCATAATTTGTGGACATAATGGAGGACAACAAGAGGAAGAAAAGGAGGCCGCGAGCCATTTGGTGGTAAGGGATATTCACTAGTTGCATGTTTCTGTGATGTATTTGCTTATATTATGTGTATTTAGATTTCACAGGTTTGTATTTATAATGGGGAAAATTTATAAGAGTTTGAGGCAATGCAACTAAAAAGCATAATGTTTTTCTTTTTCTTGTGGCCTAAAAACGATATATCAATATATTGAACGACTCAGGACATCTCCTAACTAATTGAGAAAATGGTAATTACCAACAAAAAAAGGAAAAAGAAAAAGAAAAAAAAGAAAACTACACTGTAATTATATTCAGGAAAATATGTGCTTAGCTTGACAATCGACAGTATTTGGAGTCAATTAGACTTTAAAATAAGAGTTCCGGTCCTCCCATGTAGACTTTGTACACCCAATTAATGAGGTCTTCGCTTCGGTTTTGTATATATAATATATGTAGTGTAGTAGGAGCAGCAAGTTAGGGTCAATAAAATAAATACAAGCCAATTAAATTAAAAACTTTTCTTTTGCCCTGACTGAAATGTTGAAACTTTGAAAACCGAGAAACTGGGAAACACCACAACCATACAATTCAAAGCCAAAGTCTCCTCAGTCGGTCTCAAGTACTTTTCGTTTTATAAATACATCAAAATTTTCAACTGTTAGATTTTAATTTTTCAATCCAAATGTACTGTAGACTTTGTACACCCAATTAATGAGGTCTTCGCTTCGGTTTTCTTTTGTGGTACAAACTCTCTTCGACGTATTGATCGGTTTGAAGAATTTAGAATATGTGGCTGTGGTTGTTTCCCACTTTATCAGTTTGTAAGCGACGTTTTGAAGTTTCATTTCAAGCTAAAATTAAAAAAAGAAATACGAATTCTTTGTTATTGGCTTTAATTGCTCCTAAGTCCCAACACTCTGATTTGCTCCGACATATAAACACAAACCTACAGACAACCTAAATCTATCAAAAACCAGGCACATTCAAGAAGAAATTAACATGCTTCTGCAGTCTGCTCACCCATTGCCTCTCCCTATCTGCAGGTAAACGCCTGAATAAGCATTAATGTATCTTAAAAAAATACATATATTAGTACCAACTTTATTTACTCTAATCTCAGCAGCCTCAGAAATTGGCCAAGATACTATCTTGTATGCAAGCGTGCCAGTATAACACTTGAAAAAAAAAAAAATCTAATAGTTTGATGAATCAATGATAACTTGGGCTTTACGTAACCCATCTCCCAAATCAAACTACTTTGATTGCACTTGACCTCATATGATTTTTCAGTCTCAAGGAAATGTGATGTTTTTTTTGATATAATAGCTTGCAGGCATCGTATATTCACAAATTAGAAATGGCCTACTGGCCAACCCAAGACGCAAGTGCAGATCTAATTCATTAACACAAAACAGGCATGTGCCAATTCTCAAGAAAATCTGCGGGATCTTCATGTCATAGTAGTTATTTACATTGAATCCAAAGTATATTAAAAGGCCCTGCAAAGGCTTAACTTGCAAGTTCTAAGCCATCACAGTTGGGCGATATACATGCAATGACAGGCCTTTGCCGCATGGGTTGATAGAATTAATAAAACTGGAGAAAATTTTACACCGCCAACCTTGCAATGCAAGGTACCTTCGTGTGGGCAGAAAGTTATTCCATTTGCATACTTGTACAAAACAGATACAAGCACATATAGTACAGGTTAGTTTCTGCAATTCACAAAAAACTAAACAACAAAAAATCCACAAAAAGAGAAAACACATCATTAAGTCAACAAAAACCGTACACAAGATTGTAGATAGATAGACCACATGAACTCACAAACATTTATCACTTTGCATCTCCCAAAAAGAAATATTGATTAAATAGTAATACACTAATGCATGTGCATGCATTAAACAGACAAGATCGGAACTGACCTTCCTCTTTTTCTGTTTTCCTCCTGTTAGACCAAAGAAGCCGAATTGGAGTTCCCAGAAACCCAGCATCTGAACGCAGTTGCTTCTCCATATAACGGCGGTACGTCTCTGGGAAAAGTTTTGCATCATTGACAAAGAACACAAACGTTGGTGGCCTTATAGCTGCCTGCAAATGAATACAAAGTAATGCACATAATTGTCATGTTCATAAAAAAAAAAACAAATACTGGTTTGTAGTCAATCACATGCAAGTTTGAAAAAACAGATACTGTCCTCAGGATAGGCACGCAAGGAATAAAGTTAATAGAGTCAATTTTTAGCACTGAATCATCTAAAACCTAATAGCAGTAGAAAACTGTACTTTTCCAGGTCTTAACAGATCATGCTTTCTGTTCATAACAACAAAAAATATCAAAATTTCGTTGACACTAGCATCCAAAGTTTGTGAGGGTGTCGCTTGCCAGGAGTATGATCAACAAGAATGCAAGAGATATATTAATGACCCAAAAAACATAAAATGCATCCTGCATAAAACAAGAACCTGAGTGCAGTAATAAATGCGCCCTCTTTTGCCACCTCGTGTCCTTGGTGGTGATTTAAAAGCTAGTGCCTCCTGTACAACTTGATTTACTGCAGAAGTACTAAGCCTTCTTGATCTTTCTTTCTCAACTGTGCTAGCAGCAACGATAATCCTAAAACCAAAGACAATAATACCATTAATGTAGCCCACGCCCAACATATCTGCAATATGAAACAAATTCTTGGCATATACAGAGGTTTTCTATCAAGAATAGCATACAATGCTAAGACCTTAAATTCCTGGAAACTTCAAACCATTAAAATTATGCACAGGATTCTTGTGAAACTCCATTTGTAACCTGTATAGTGTTTTACTGATGCGGGACACTGTATATAAGAATGTATATAAATCATAAACTGAAAACCGAAATTACAAACTGGTTTAAGCCTAAAGTCCACAGGAAATAATCTTGTTAAATTTCAGAGAGACGGGCAGCCTACTACCAGCAACACCGATATTGTCCCCAACTTAACCACCTACAAAGCCCAGTAGGTATTGGGATATATCACAAAAGACCTCAGTGCTATTAATAGTGTAACCATTTATTATATGTTGTATCTTATTTAGTCAATTTTCCGATGTAAGACTTTATATCCTTCAACAGAAAACTGAATGCAGTCTGCTCACCCATTGCCTCATGGCTTCCTTTTCATCCTCTTGTTCTCTTCCATTATTTCTACAAATATTCATGCATGCAACCAAACTGAATGCAGAACCCCCATGTCCTCCCCCAATACGTCTTCTCATCCTATAAATTGGACTTCCCTTAGTTCTTTCCATTTAGTGGGCATCCCTTATCGTCACCAAGGTCGGGCCCCGGAGACGCACAAGGGGACACCTCTAAAGGCGGTAATTTTCCCCCACTTAAGAAACATATTTCACCCACAATTTATACTTTAGATCAATGGAATTTGATTGCTTGGGTCCAAAAGTATTGGAACTGAACATGGCATCCTGACGTGATGATATCGATTCACACAAATTTAGAATATGTAGCTTATGAGTCACCACCTGTTATAATTTGAATGAATTGGTAACGTGTCACATGGTGTTATAACTAAACACAATTGCTCATCTTTATATATTTTTTTAGGATTAAATACTTTTTGGTAACTGGGTTTTATACGAAAATTTAATTTGGTCACTCTAAGAAAAAAATTTAGCCAAATTTGTCATTGTATCTCTCAAAGTTTACAATTTATAGACATTTGCGTGGTTTTATACTAATCCATTGTCTGGTTTTGTTACTTTAAGCAGGGATCATTGGAACTTAGATTTCATGGATGCAAGCTTCTTCATTGTGGATCTCCGTTTGGGTGGCGCTCCACAATATATCACGTTACTCGGTTTCAAGAGTTTATTCGAATTGTATCTTCATATATTTTAGAATGCTCCATCAATGTTTTCACAAGTTCATCTTCTTATTCTACGTGGCCTTTACTGCAACACCTTGCCTTTTCAGCTACACCTTCACTCTCCCTGTCTGCAGGCAAACGAGTGAATAAGCCTTAATATATCTATAAAAAATACATACGCTTAAGTGCTACAGTACCCCCTGAAACATTGGTCAATTCTCACTTCACCCCCTTAAAGTTAAAGTGATCCACTTTGCCCCCTTGACCGATGTTTTGTGTCTCACTTTGCCCCTCATCGTCAAGTCTGTTAAAAACTCAATTAAAAATGCTGACGTGGCACCAATAGGACCCACTATTTTGCTAAACTAAGTGCCATGTGATGAAAAAAATTAAAAAATTAAAAAATGTCTTTTAAAAAACTTAATTCAACTATTAAAAATAAAAATAAAAATTTAAAACCAAAAAATCCCCAATTCCCCCCCTTCAACCCCATTATCCCTTCCCATTCCTCTCTCTTCCTCTCTTGCAGACCCAAAACCCAGTCGAAACCCCAGTCTTAGGCAACTTGGAACCAAAACTAGTTGAATGATTAGCATAATGCACATATAATATAAACATTACAAGATTAGCATGCTAATAATCAGTAATTAGACAAAGAATCTTTTATCAGCTGCTACAAAGCAGAAACATAAACTTCAGTCCTTATTAAATTAGGCAATATTAAACCCAACAAACAAACAAACGACCCAAAAACAT